CTTATGCAACCTCCAATTGTCATCAATGAAATGGGCAATTAACTCATATACGATAATTGGGTTGATGAGCTCCAAGTACTAGTTGTTAAGGAGACTTTTTGCTTTGATTCCCTAAAGTAGTTTCTGAGGATTACTCTCTTATCAAGATAGATTTCATAATAGAGTTTGGTTATACACCTTCTAGAGGGAAGCTTGAAACTAGGGGGCAAAGCAGCTTCGCAAAATCTTTTGAATCCTAATTTTTCAACAATGCTAAATGGATTCTCATAATTTATAATCATTTCAGCCAAAACACTCTTAACAGCCTTTTCATCAAACTTCCAAGAGGTTAGTTGAGTGACACCCTTTCCATCCTCACCTTCTCCAACAACATAATACCATTTTAAACTAAGCAAATTTTGACTCTTTAACATGTCAAGGTTCTTTTTACATTTAGGTATATGATTTCACCTTGAAGAGGTGCCATTAAGCCTAGAGTTAATTGATGGCTATATTTGACTATTGTAAGTTTTTAAAGATTCTTTTTTCATGGTGATGCACTAAAATCACCCTAACAAGTATGCTAGTTGCTCTAAGTAATATAATGATTAATAGAGTGTCGAACCCATGAGGATTGTGTTTAACTAAGTACCAAAATAATTAATCCAAATTTATTCGAACAATCGAAAATGAAGAAAGTTCAATTAAAAAAGAATAAAAGGAAAATAACAATTAAAATAAACCTAACCAAGATATGAGGTACTAAGGCATTGATTTCACCGTAATCAATCAATATAAATTCTGGATTAATATACTAATTTGTTGAATGTTATTGTATGTGATGGTAGATTTCCCTAAATTAACTAACTTGCTTTCTCAAGTCAAGTTAATCCTTCACTGGTTTGTTAAATTAATCATATTTTTATGTAATTTTAAACAAACTAATGAGTATTAAATTCTATGGAAATCTCTAGCTTAAAAAGGGGGAGCTCCTAACTCTCTTCTCTTCCTCCATTACCACATGTGAGCTAATTACCTCAAAGTCTCATAGTCTAGCACACGGTTTATATTATTATTAGTTTAATCTATGCAATTCTTTCTCAAGTTCATGCATAAATCAATAAATCAATCGAAAGATGATCAGGCTTCCAATGCATTAAGTTCAATAATATAAACTCTTCATGCAAATAACTTTAATTGAAACATAAAATCACAAAATCTATATTGAATTAATTAGACTACATCGTAACCCTAGTAGAATAAATCAGTTCATAATAAAAATAATAAAATCTGAAATCATAGTTATGAATATTCAAATATCAAACAATAGATAAAAATCCAAGGAAAAACAAGACCCAATTTGAGGAAATCGAACTCCTTGATCTTCTATTCTTAAATCTTTTCTCTTGATTTTCAAAAATGCCCAAAAGAGAACTGCCACCAACCTCCACCCAGCTCTCTTAATTCTGAATTTGGATGGATATTTATAGGATTTTAAAAACCCTAATTGGAATAGAAGTAGGACTTGAAGCAAAATAAAAAAGTTGAAATTTGGATGCTGAACGCATGGTGTTGATACCCTGAATTACGTGTCGACACTACACTTGTGTCGAGTTTCTAACCTCCTTTTGCAATTTCTTAAATGGTAAAATGACAGATCTGTCCTCCAGCTTTTGTACAATGAGTACTTAGATCCCAAAACTCAAGATTCATTCATTAAGGTCCCAAAGAATCGCCCTTCTTCTTGCAATTCAGTCCCTCAACTTTCAAAAGATATTCAATTAATTCCAAAAACTCTTCATTTATGCATTCAAATCCTTTTTTGCACAAAGAATGAAAATTATGTAAAATCTCATAAAATTTAGTAAAATCTCATAAAACTCATCCAAATATCAATAATATCAAGGTAACAATTCCACATTAATATATATACAAATTCAACTCATCACATGGCAAAGGCCATTATAAATACGAAAGCTTTTGCTCCTAAGAGTATCACAAATATTCCGTTAACTAAAAAATTATTATCTGATCCATGGCCTCGTTTTCTTCAGCATTGATCATTGTTTCATCCCAAACTCCAATCCCCAGAACCAAATTTTCAGAAATTAAGAAAATAAACCTCAAGATTACACCTACCTCTTTCCCTACTGCCCCGAAGTTTACAACTTCCCAATGTCATAAAATCGTTTCTAAACCCCAAAAAACCTTCAGTTATCTGTCTACACAACCTTTCATTGCTGTAAGCTTTGTTTCTCCGAAAACTTTTTCTTTACAATTACCCTTTTGAGGTTTATATGTGGTTGATCATTGTCCTAATTAAATAATGCAGGATGAATCTTGCCTTGAAAATTCAGAAGTGGTAGAGGTATTAAAGCAGATATTAGGAAAAGTTGGAGCAGATTCATTTGAATGCTTGGCCATGATTGATGCTGTTCAACGATTAGGCATCGACCACTATTTTGTACGACAGAATGAAGAAGTTCTAGGAAAGAAGTATGCCTTATTCTGTGAAAATGGTCTTCTTGGCCGCAATCTTTATAAGGCTGCACTTTCCTTTCGGTTGCTTAGACAACATGGTTACCAAGTGCCAGCAGGTATATACATATGCTTGAAAAGTTTAAGATGCTACCTCAATTGTCATGTTAACTGTTGATGGTTAACTGCAGGGATATTTAATGTGTTCAAAGACGGGAAGGGAAGGTTTAAGCATGAACTCAGCACGGACATTACTGGGTTACTGGAATTATATGAAGCTTCA